CGCCGCCGCCGCAAAGCCTGTCGGCGTAAACCTCTAATACATACACATAGAAATGAATTGCTCTCCGTTAGTCTCGCTAAAACTCAAAAACGGCTTGACCGATCTGAATAATCCTTTTTCTGGTTCGGTCGTATAATTTCCGGATGACTAAAAAAATTTAGTGAGTTGCCACGTGTTTGAAAATTCCTATGTAAGTAATTGATGAGATAAAGAAGGTGTCACAATGGGCCGTATGAATAAAAATAAGTAATTGCTTTTTCTTCAAATTTCAGACCTTTTACTCAATTTATTCAAATAAAATTGAAGTAAAAGGTATGAAATTTCAAGCAAAAGCAATTTCTTAGTTTTTATTCATACGGCCCAATGTGAGTGTCAAAAGAAAGGGGTTTAAAAAGGCTTACAGCCGTAAATATTTTTGAGGAAAAATTTAAATCAATTGAATTGGTAAGATAAATTGAGTATTACAATATGGGTAAAGAGATTTAAGAAAGCTTATTATCGAAAATATTCGTGAGCTGGGTTGCCCCCTGTATGAAAAATGTAATTCAACTATACTGATAAGAAAAATTACGTTTTGCAAAATGGCTATCAAACTAAAGAGATTTCAGAAAGCTTATTGCTGAAGATATTTTTGAGGCGGGTTGCCACCTATTTCGAAAATTCAATTCAATTAAATTGATATTTAACATGAATTTATGATCTTTTCTTTTTCAATACACTCTCCTTAGTATTTGCGCGTAAAGGGCACTGAGAAGGCAACATATTTTCGGTAGAAAAGGAAACGCCATGAGTATGTATTACAAGATAGGTATCAAACGAAAGTTATTTTTAGAAGTTAAGTACAAGGAAAATTTCGCGTTGGGCCACTTCTGCTCTCATGGCCTAGATATAACATTTATATACCTATGTTTGTGCTTTTCCTTCATTGAAATGCTTCTATACCATTCATAGATTGTTGATATTTTAAATTAAATGAAAGGCCTTTCCCCATAATTTTATCGAGAAATGAAAGGAATGTTTTGTGTCCTCCCGTCTGCATACAAAGTCGTCAATAAAAATTGTTTTGTCCTCCCTTAGGCGTTTTAAAAGTTGGCAAGCCTTCTACACATTTGCTCGAAATTTTTACTCAAATTGCTTCGAAAGATGTTCAAATATGCATTTGACCATTTTTCAGCTATAAATCCCATTTAACCAGAATGGCCAATATTACTTTGTAATGCGACTGAAGTTAGGATTTGTATTTGATGAAGTAAAATCAATTCCGAGGGTGTAAGTGTAGTAAATCAAAAAAAAAAGTATCAAAGCCATATGGCGAGCAGTGTTGCCAGGTTGATGATTTGGTCGTAATTTTGAAGATTTTTTACGGCCATGACGATAATCGTGTGGAATCATGTGGAAGCACTTACAGTAGTTGTCGATGAGTAGTTTTCTTCTATGTTTCATCACTATTTGTGCAGTTTTTTGGGTCAAATTCATAGTTTTTGCGTTGTGTACTGATACATATTTTATTGAGCGAAGGAAATTATGAATAAGTTATTTAGCAAAACTGATAGGTATGAACAGTTTTTAATGCACAGTTCTCAAGAAAATCGAAAAACTCATATAAAATCACACTCAAGAAATGAAAAAGAAATTTTCTTCTATAAAAATTTCTTAATCAGTCTGAAGATCTCAAGAAAAAAACGCTCGTATATTTAGTTCTTCAAGAAAATTTACGCCAACGGCAAGGTTCTTTTTCAGGCAACAAAACTGATGAAGAAATTCTTGTGATTTTTCTATAAAGCTGTAAAACATAACATGAACTAGAGAAAAACTTTGTGACAAAAACAAATGTTAAACGACTTATCCAAAGTTTCACTAATCAATTTTAAATCTATCAATTAAAATTTAAATTATTTAATTATCCGAATAATATTGTGTAATTTTTTAAATTTTAGCAGACTGATAAATTTAAAATTGATTGGTGCAGCCGGGAATTAATGATCTAAAAATGAAGAAGAAAATGCTATTTTATTGCAACTAAAAATATTTTTATTAAAAGTAGTGTAAATTTTAAAAATTCGTAAAAACTTTTAACTTTTTATTTTTTATCAGAAAAAAACCAAACGAGCCACCTGGTTTTGTTTATTTTAATTTTTTATATGTTGACGATTTTTACATGAAAATGACGATTTTTGAGAACCAAACTGACGATTTCTCACTTCAGTGACCTGGCAACACTGATCGCAAGCCAAAAGCTTCGGTCTACTTCTACTTACGTCATTAATCATATGTTTTCCGCATGCGTTTTGAACCATAAACACCTCAATATACGATGGCATATACCTACATATACGACTGCAAAGTGCAGCGGCTGCATAGTCGGAAAGTGGAAGCGGAATTGTCAGCTACATTACAATGAGCTGAAAGAGAACGAGTTGCAGCCAACTACTGAGCGAGGACAAAAATAAAAAAAAAACGACAAATCGACAAATCGAAATGCATTAGAAAATACTGATAACAAATTGTGAATTGAATTAGTTGCTGGCGCCATAGAGTACAAAATTAAAAGTGATTTAATAGCGAAAAATTTACACTTTTGATAGTGCAACAAACAACAATTTGCATGCAAATGTATGTATGTACGCATGCATCTGCATTTATATAAATGTAAAAGTATTTTTGTTTTAAGGTAAATTTCTTGTCTTCTCACTTGTAAAGAGCTTTGTAAACAAAATAGACCGATGAGTGGGTTCTCTCTGAACTCGCAGCGATTCGCACGTTATGTAGGTGATGCCAGACTGTCATAAAATAACATTTTTCCATGTTCAGTATACAGATTGGCCATTTTATATGTTTTTTGCTGTTAAAGCACTTTCACGCTCTTTGTGACATTGGGCATAATTTTTGTCTAATTTTCGGAAGCTTGTGAGATTCGGGTTCAAAAAATCTAATTCTAAAAACAATTTAAAAAAATTCAATTGAAAATATCACAAAATTAATGATGATTTTAGGCCTTGAGGGAAAAAAGTTGAGGTGCACCTTAAAAGCAATTACTAAAATGAAAATGGTAAGGGCGCGAGCCACGCCGTTTTAGTTTTCCTTTAATATAATAAGAAGTATCACGTAGGTACATTGAACTTTTTAGTAAATACCGCATTTATTTTTTATAGATCCTTCAAAATTTTTTTTTTTTTAATAGGCTCCTCACAGTGATCCTCGGGCATGCATAGGTTCGATTAAAATCGATCCAAAAAATTTGTTCATCAGTTTTTAGATACATATTTTTAGATCGAAAAACGGCTTTTCTTGAAATCCTACCTGATCGCTTTTTCGAAAAAAACTCAAAATTACGGTTTTTTCTTAATTGTTGCACTTGTCTATTAACAGCTTGACTATTTTTCATCCGATTCTAAAAACCGATCATGTTTTGAAAAGAGGTTTCATAGACTTTTAAAATTATGTATAATAATATATAGTTAGACTTAGATTGTTGGCAGTTTTCATCGGTTAAAAGAAATTGCATAAAAATTGTCAAAAAGTTATGCAATTTTAGCAAAAATACGGCCTTGAATTTATATGTGTATGTACCGGACTTTCAGATTTCATGGCCAGTANAAAAAGTTATGCAATTTTAGCAAAAATACGGCCTTGAATTTATATGTGTATGTACCGGACTTTCAGATTTCATGGCCAGTATGGCCAAGCAATTCGTCTTACGTAATATGTAATTCGAAGGGTAATTGGAGTGCGAATTACAAATAAGAGAGCAAACTACGTAATTGGCATCGAAATCGGTTCACATGGTCTAAAATTAATGCCGTAACATACGAAAAAAAAATATTCCGACGAATGATAATCTTCCTATTTTTTTAAAGTCTAAAAAATTAAATGTTTTTTTTTTTTATCAACTTGTAATATTTGTGTACTGACTTATTTATGCTTTTAATTCAAAAACATTGCGCAAGTACACAATAAGTGCAAAACGAAATATTTTCAGTGGAAAAAATATAATCGTTATAATGTAGGTAAATATATTCAGTGCAAATTGGCCACTCGAAAACTCTAAACGTTCGTACGTGCAAATACATACATATGTACATAAATATGTATACGCATGTATTTAACTTTTCTCCACTTGTTCTCAATAGTTGAATTATAATCACATATTTACAGTATTAGAAAAATAAATAGAAACAACGCAAAAATCTGCGAGTTTGCCCTCCCTAATTTGCTTTTCCTTTTATAATTTCTAAGCATCTCCACTTGTTTACTATCAGGTTAAGAATCATAAATTTAACAAAGTCTGCAGAATTTTATTTATTTATTTATTTTGTTTTGAAGAGTGCTAGGACGAAAGCTTTTTTTGGTATTTCTTTTACAGCTCGGTGCTCGAAAAGCTGTAATAAACTTCAAAGAAAATAAATTTAACTCCTCAAGATGTACAGCCTTGGTGCATATCAAAGTTGAGAATAATTAGACAGTTTGTAAAAACCCAAGATTACTAGCAACATACAATTGGTCGTGGCCCTATTATTTTTTCAAACACCGTTAATATAATATAAGAGTGATATTGCGTTTTCTAGAGAGTGTGATAACAGATTTTTTATATCAAGCATACAATCAATTAAGTATGTATTTTTAATTGCAAATTACCGCGCAATATATTTGGAATTTTTTCACAAATAGTTACCTAACAAATGCAAATTATCTAAATATCTATCAGTAGATATGTTTTCATATTGGTCTTCACCTTGATAAAAAGTAGATAAAAACGAAATATTTTTAATGCGATGAATAGCTTTGTATCAGAAAACAGTTGTATTTAACCCTTTCAGTACCAGCGACAAACTTTTTATGTGGTTAAAACTCGTCACAAAATTCGGTAGCGAACAATGTAATCTATTGAATAAGTTAAAATTTTTTTCCCCTGAAACTAGGATTAGAAAAGAGTGCAAGTATTGCTCATAAGTTTTGGACTATTTTTCGCCAAGGAAAAAAAAATAAAAATAATTGAGATCATATCCTTTTTTAAACACCTAGATGATGACGTCATAGTTAACCCTATAACAATAACGTTGTCTTTAGTATTTTTGTGGTGCAAATCGTAAACGAAGACAACAGTAGCTACATATATACTTAAATATTTACTTATATCAGGCAAATAGAAAACATTTATTTATTTATAAAAGAGGCAGCGAGATAGGCAAAATTATAGTCATTTTTGACCCTATAACCCATAACGTTGTAGTCCTGTTTTTATAGGAAATCGTAAAAGAATATTACGCCAGTTAAGCAGCTGGAACGTGGTGGTTGGAATCAGTAGAGGACCCTTCGACACATTTCTACTCTAGTGTTAAGCATCACGATCATATAAGGGCAACAAAATTTTAAACTGTAACTGAGCTAATTATACTTTTTGGAGTCATTTCAAGCTTTTAGTCAAACTCACTTCTCTTTTTTGCACAATTGCGAAACTAAAACGGCGGTTCAATGTAGTAGAGATGTCAGTTTTAAAAATTATCGATGAATCGATGAATCGATATACATATCGCCTATTTATGTAGGGAGTGAAAATTTTTCGATGCATCGGAGCAAAAAAACCATATTTTCGATGCATCGATGTTTTTCCGACATCCCTAGGCCAGCATTTATTTTGAAAGGAAGAAGAGGACAGTCATGATCTGGAGTGGTTTCAGTTGCTTAACTGAGCGGTCAAAATTTTGTAGGGAATGCTTGACCTCTCTTTCTTTTATTTGAATGATTTAGTTAGGGTTGAAATATTGAAGGTACACACACATCTGAATTGCTGATAAACAATGTCGCTCGAATATATAGATCAGTGATACTCAGAGACAGCTTTTACTCTGTGCGCGTCCATATAAAATGTACAGGGAACTTTGAAGAGTTCCACCCGCGGGCGCTGTTTTGATAATCACAGATATAGATACAGACTTATGTATCACATCATCTCAGCGAGAGCTAAGCAAAAACTATAAGATAGGCGACAAAGGGTTTTTATGGCCGGATATCGTCAAGAAAAATTACATCTGATGCATACTACCACAGCCCAACAGATCTAAGCTTAAACTTCATAACTGAATCGATTATTTCAGAAATCCGTCAACCGCCAAAATACACAAAAACTAGTTAAGACCGAAATATTCTTCCTTGCAAGTTGGCGCACCGAGTAGAGCATAAACCGGCCAGGAATTATTGTAGTAAAGTTGCTAAATGATTTGAAAGTAAGAGTTTTTTAAATTTCATTTCTTAGTTTTTAATAACTTTTTTACATTTTCTGTATGTTTTACATAACGATTTGAAATTCAAAAAAATAAATATTACTGCTTAATTCAACAAAAGTTTGATTTGCTAATAACCACAAAAAATGTGAATAATATTGTATGGTTTACCGCACAATTTAAAATAAAATTTAAATTAACAATTAAAATTATAAAAAATTACTTTTTTCATAAAAGTACTCGAATTATAATTATTTTCAATAAAACATATCTTAAACCCCCTCCCCCAAAAAATAAGTTTCCTAACAGGGCAGTATTTTAGCTTTCATTTAACCGCACTTTTGGCACTTGAGTCTCAAGTTTCGTTGAAGAAGTTTGGGAATGATTCAAATAAATGTTAGGAGCAATACGCAGCTATATTCATATGCCATCAAAAAACCCCTACTATCTTTAAAAAGCTACATATTTTCACTTTTTATTTTAGACTATACTTGTTGACTTTGTGAAAACATTTATTTACTCCCTGACTTTACACACTCAATACCAAATAAAATATATGTATTTGTACACATAAGCATGGATTTAAAAGATAATACAACCACCGAAAAGTGCAACTTACCTGTCTATAATATAACTACGATGCCAAAGAAACCTAAGCGACGGGATAAAAGTGATTTGGGACCAGATTTTTTGGCGCCTGATGGCGGCTGGGGCTGGGTCGTTTGCATAGCAGCCGGCCTAAGTAATGTAAGTCCGCGTGCATTACAGTAATGCCTTAGTATGAAATTTTAACCCCAGTAAAGTTTTTGTTTTCCTCAGCTGGCCATGTACCCACCACTGCAACAATATGGTCTGATCTATCGCCAACGTATGGTATTCCTGGGATTCTCAGCCAAAGAGACTACCACAATAGCGAATATAATGCTGAGTTTGGCATCTTTAGTAGGTATGTTTTGGCAACACAGTGCATTCCATTACTTAAAGTGTCTGTTTTTTTTTTTGATACTGAAATGTTTTCCCCTTTTTAGGCATTGTGAATGGTGCCATGTTTCGTCGCTTCACATTTCGTCAGGTTGCTATCACCGGCAGCCTTTTGATATTCAGTGGAATTTTACTATCCGCATGGTGTACCACATTTTGGCAGTATGTCCTATGCGTGTCAATAATTTATGGTAAGTATTTGTTTGCGCTCATTTATTTGTACTCTACTAAATCCACTTTTTCTAAGCATTTTTTTTTGTTTGATCTGCAATAGGAATCGGACAGGGACTCAACGTAAGTGCCTTATCGTTGGCTGTGAATACTTACTTCAAAAATCGACGTCGGCGTGCGACGGGCTTTACCTGGACTATCACCGGTTTGGGGCCCATCATATTTCCACACTTCACCTCACTTATTCTAATCTACTATGGTGGTCAAGGTACAATCATGATTTATGCAGGCATCTCATTGAATACGCTCGTATGCGCCATGACTCTGCAGCCAGTGTTGTGGCACTCTTCAAAGCCGCAGAATTGCGATCGAGATGAGGTAACTGAGTTATCGACGAGATCTCTACCCGTCGCTATTAATCCCATATCGAGTGAAGTGGTGTACGAATGTAAGTACTGTCAATATGTGAAGCGCGGCAGACCTAGTGTGGTTGCGCCACAATTCCCATTCGACGATAGTGACTCCGATACATTCAGTTACGAGATCACGGAACCCGGTACACCGCTGATGTCACGCGCCAATGACGGCTGGTTTGGTTCAAAGACATCGCTAAACAATTCCATGCACTCAACACGTTTGAGAAATAAAATTGTGCTGCAGTCAGCACTGAGAGCGCCAATCGCAGAAGCGGAAACGGATGACGGTGATGATGTGGATAAAGAGCTGAATCCTGCAAGTACGGAAAGCGCGCAAAATGATCTGTACACTGAAGATTTCCATTGCACCTGCGCAGAGGAGAAAGCTTTGCTACTAAGTCTTTTCAAGGACAAATTGGAAATGGAGCAAGAGCAACTAAAAGCTGTCGAAGTAGACAAGGAGTTAGCGACGCGCAAGTTGAGCTTTAGAGAGAAAGTGGTGAAATTCTTCGACTTGGATCTGCTAAAGGATTTCACTTTTGTCAATCTAGTTCTCGGCATGACCGTAATGATGTTTGCCGAGATAAACTTTTCCATTTTAATACCCTTCATTTTGGATCAGTACGGCTACAGCAATGAACAAATCTCCACAGCCATGTCGATGCTGGGCGGCATGGATATTTGCGTGCGTTTCTTGGCGCCATTCGCGCTCGAGAAGGTTAAGCTGAGCAATCAGGTGCTATTTGCATTCGGTATTATTGCCATCTCTCTTGGTCGTATGCTGATTACGACGACCGATTCATACCGTATAACACTGGCGCTTTTTGTGTTAATTGGCTTCGGAAAGGGCTTTCGCACAATATTTTCCTCGCTAATTATACCCACATACGTGCCTTTGAAACGGTTGCCGGCTGCCTCTGGCCTACAGCTGGTGTGCAACACATTATTTTCACTGTCCTTCGGACCCATTTTAGGTGAGATTCGGTATAAGGTTGCAACATTTTCTAATTATACTTATATGTGTTCATATATTTTCTCGTTTCTATTTAGGTGTCATTAGCGATGCCACCAGTTATACGATGACGGTACACTTTCTCAACTTGCTGACTTCCATTGCTTTGTTGATTTGGCTAATCGAGTATCTGGTGCGCCGCATGCTTGGAATAAAGTCAAAAACAACAATGGAGGGCTAACAGATTGGTGCAAGGCACTTTTAGTGCCGTTTTCTCAAGTAGCTTTTAAAGTTTGTCTGCTTTTCAAACACATTTTTCGAAACAACAAATTTGTATTTAAAAGGCAGATAAATTTTAAAGGCTAATTGAGAAAACGGCCCTTTAAGTGTTAACTATGTATTTGTAAATTATTTACTAATAAATTGTGTAATATATGTGTCTGTACTTAATACTATGCGAACTAAGAGATTTTTCGGATTACCTGTTTATTTTTATCTCTAAGTAAATAACTAAAATATGTACCACGTTTCAGCGAAATAAGTTACCAAGTATTGATTTCCCATATGCAATTAATTGTAAATATGTATAGCATTTACTTATATGGAAAATTAATAAAGATCTTTTACTTATTAAGCTAATCCAATTTTTGGCAAAAAATGTCAGTTATGCGGTTTAGCAGAACGACGATGCGTGGTTTTGTTCTTTAAACGACGATATGATTAATTAAAAAAAAATATATTTAAAAAACTCAGTGCAATGTAGAATAACAATCAGGGTATTATATTCACAAAAGAGAAAATTGTGTAGTATTAAAAAGTTTACATTTTTTTATGCATAAGGATGAAAAGGTACTGAAAAGGCCTTTTAAAACTTTTTCTTTGAATATCCTTGAAAATTTCCAATGTGTATTTTTGAAAAAAATGTATGTTAAGTACTAATATATTTACATACAACCACACCCTCGAAGCTCGCTCTTCTAACTATATTAGCTTAAAAATAATGAAAATAAATTAATTAAAAGGGTATTTTCAATACATATTTATCTGTGTGGATGAAAAAATTATTATTATTTTTTTTTTTATTATTTTTTTAATTGATCATATCTTTGAAATTTCAAAGTCCTTAAAAAAGCCTTGCCGTCAGAGATAAAAGCGAAAAACGCAGTTTTTCTGTATCTAATTCATAGTTTCGTGAGTATACTATTTTTTGCGGTGTTACGGGTTCACGCTTTGGCGAAGTCACTACTAGTTCGACGAAAGTCGCCATTGTGATCTTTTTGAGAGGCAGTACCGCTGACACCAACTTTTTACAAAATCATGCGACTTCTGATCCTTTTTGGCTTTCAACATTTCTTTCCTCCAATTTCCATATTTGTAAGTTTCGATTGGAATAAAATAACGTTCCACTCTCAGATTGTATTACATTTGCATATCCCATGAACTAAACTTACTTTTATATGGAAGAAAATGCGCAAATGCCTCCACAAAAAAAATCTAAAAAATCAACGGTAATTTTTAGCGATTTGAAACTTGCACTTTATTATACTAAAATTAAATGGGCTATAAAACTGCATACGAAATCTTTCTTTCTAGGAAATCCAATTAAAAATTTTTAAATTTTTTTTAGTTCAATTAGTTATTGTGAAATTTGTGCAAGCTTTGAAACTTTTACTTATGTGGTATCTGATAAAGATCGACACATATTTTAAATGAAAATTATTAACAATACATAAAGAAAGATAATTTTCCAAGAACATCATTTTCAATTTTGCTGCTATTTATTTGAACGCCACTGTACCTTCCTGTTCAAGGCTTATAGTTCTAAGTTGTTTTGTACTATTAATACTACAATCGGATGAGGAAATGCATTTTCCCTGAATATTCTCAATGGTCAGATTTTTGGTTTAAAAAATTAAACATTTTTTTAAGCCCTGACTCTCTTTTCTGCGAATCTTAGAAAATTCTCAGCAGTAACACTGGCCAGAGTGGTCTCAAGACTTAACAGTTATTTTACAGCTTTCTTACAGTTCAAGGCAAAGGCTGCCCATTCTCGCGTTCATCATACGCCCCGGTATGCGTTTCAGACAGCAGGTTATAAAATACAGCAAGTAGTCGATTTGAGTGAATCAAATAGGACTCTTTAAGGGAAAATATGTATGTATTTTTTATTAATGTTAGTCAGACAATTTATATGGTGTCCTAGGCCACCCGTTTATACTCTTCTCTAAATCTTGCAAAACCTGAATGGTTTTCCAAAAGAGAAAACTTTGTAAATCGTTCCATCCGTACACCGTGCAAGCCATTTGCAAGACTTAGAGAAAACCGCTATTGTTTTGATTATTTTTTACCGGCACTAAAGAATTCACTGCGCAATCGCCAATCTAGGCAGTTCAACTCATTGCAAACTCTCTTCAATATTTAATTTTTACTCTTTCGCATGGGTGCTCACTGAAGTAATTAAGAACAATGACAATTTTGTAATAAGTATTACCAATACCAGATTTTTTTTTTGTTTTTTGTGAAAAACGTTAATATGGCAAGAATAGCTTATTACAGCCGATTTTCTCACGCCGACAGTCACTAAGAAGTGAGCGTAAGACTTTTAAATATTTTTACCCGCTCACTTGAATAAATAATGTAGAACAACTCACCACTCTCAGTGGGTGGCTTTCGAACAATCGATGTTACGGTAGAAAGGTTCGGAGTTGTGTTGCAAAATTAGCTTTTTTTTAATTTGTCAATATCCACAGTACCTACATAGAAAAAGCACAAAAACTTTTATAGGTACCTAGAAAATGTGTCCAATCAATTTTTTGTTGCATTCGAAAACTTTATTGAGCAGAGCGCTTTGTCAGCAACACGGATTTTACTTAGTCCGGCAATCTGCATCCGTTTAGTGAAATTCTCACATGAGCTGACATCGCTGCCAACAAAAGTGGCCAAGTGTGAAAAAATGTGAGCGTTCGAATGGGAATCTCACAGTTTTCGAGCAGAACTCGACCGATAAGGTGTGTGCCAGTGTATTTGCTTTAGCACCCGTGACGCTAATTTGAAGGCAGCATAAAAAAGTGTATTTTATTACAGTCAATGTTAACTATTTGTTCCGTCAAAGAAATTCATACTAATTTATCGAAATAGTCGTTGGATTTGGTTGACGTGAAGCGGTTGTGTCAGTTAAATTTTGTAAAATCAATTGCTGTTATTCGATTAGGTATGAAGGTGAAGATGAGCCAAAGAAAATAAATGCTAATGTACATACATATAATACGATAACTACGTCAACGGGAAAATTCACAAAGTGCTGCTTAATAGTGGTAATATTAAAAAAAAAACACAACAATAAAAAAAAATTGCGCATTACTTTAAAATCCTTGAAGAATTAAATTTTTATTTTGAATAAATAAGAATAAGCAACAAAAGTTGTAAATGGCAAAATTTCAAGTGTTAAGTGTGTTATGTGTGAGCCAGTGTTTGCGTAATGAAATTTTCCACCTAACCATTTTGTTGGTATTTGCGGAAAAGCCTTTAGTTAGCTGAATGAAAATTGTCTAGTGAATGAAAATGTGGTAAATGCAATAGCAGAGAGCGCGAGCTGCATATAATTCTATACATATATACATACATATGTGCAGATATTCATTAAATAAAGAGCATTTTGAACTTGAAAGTGCTGAGTTGACCTGCCTGAACTTGAACCTGACGGAACGTGAACGTGAAAAAGATGCTGCTGCGAATGTGATTGCAACGTAGCAAGATTGTCGTCATCAAATCACCAATGCACAAAATCTATTCGTGTTTATCTATGTACATATGTGTATGTGGGGATATAATTGCTGTTTTTCTAAAAATTCAAATTTAAACTAAAAATACAGAAAACAAAACTTGGTGCCAAATTTAAAGCATTTCACAACCAATAGTCGGCAGTGAAACTAAATACATTCGTGCCTGTAAGCGCTTTCGTCATATAGAAATTTTCGCCTACAAACTATTGTAAATATATCTTTGTACATACATACATGTGTATACTACATTAGACTGCATCACCAAAAAAAAAGTTGCAGTTTTTCCACCAGAATTACAAAACTTATTATACATATCGTCGATGTTTTTGCAGAACCGCCCATCGACCTGTTTCAAAACCACCTAAATCGCTGTTGTGGCAAAAATGAGATTTGGTACAACTCAAAAAATCGTTATTAAAAGAACAGATTTGTAAAATAATAGCTATAGAAGACACCGCCTACCAAGGCATTGTCTTAAAAGAAAAACCATTTTTACACCATTTTCATCAAAATATTTCGAAAAATATTAAGATTTAAGTGAGCTGGTTCAATTTGAAAATACCTCCAAAAATGGATTTTTTATGGATAAAAATATGTAATTTCTTAATGGATTTTTTGAAAAAAAATGCCCTCAAATGACAAAACAGTTTAAGCTTAAAAACTCTGTGTAAAAAAAATTAAAAAAATCGTTTCAATGGAATCTTAATAATGACATTTTTGATGTTGTTTTTTACATTTTTTTCTCAAAAATTGGTCAAAGAAATACTTGAATAACTGGGCCAAAACTATACCGATTTAGACTTATGAGGTATTATCGGAAAGTTGTTTCTTACCCGTTTTATTTCAATCACAACATCTTAATTGAACTTGGAATGATGCTCGTTCATCTTATCTTTCACCTTCATACTTTACATGAGTTTATTTGCAAAGAAACCAAGCGAAAATACATTTCCAATGATACCTCATAAGTCTAAATCGCTAATTATTCATTAAAAATTAAAGATTTTGGAGGTATTTTCAAATCGGTTCAACGCACGTAAATCTTAAAATTTTTCGGAAAATTTAGCTGCAAGTCTTAAAATATAATAGATTTTATAATTCCAAATGAAAAATAGTACCAATTTTATTTTGTATGGGAAGTGATGCAGCCTAATGAGCATATATGTAACATACATGTTTGTGTATGTACTAATAACGGCCGGTAATAAAGGAGTTTTTTTTAATAAATTAACGTTACCTATGGTTTGAAAATCCTACATTCCCACTGAAAGGCAAAAAAGCCGTAACAAACTAACTAATTTTCTGTTACTTAAAACCATGTGGGGACTTTTAAAAAGTGAGTTTTGGATTTTAAGTTAGTTGTGACTTTTTTGCCTTTCAGCGGTATTAAGGTAACGATATGTATGTATGTATGTACATACATGTATTAAAACTTTAATTCTATTTAGCGGTATGACATAATGTAGTGATAAGAAATATGTAAATAGAGACACAAATATGCATACATACATGGGCATATCAAACAAATTGCTACGCAGAAGTGCTCAAAAAGTTGAAAAATTTAAATAATCTTTCTTCGAACAATTCGAAAACTTGCGCTAGAAACATTGTACAACTGATGGTTTGAAAGTGAATTAAAAATTGTGTAAAATCTTGAAACTTTTGACAAAGAGAGAACCGATTTTAC